TTTGAGGCACTGTCTCGGTTGAAATTCAGTAACTAATAGCTGGTGTAAGAGATGTTTGCTATGGATCTCAGCTGTTAGGCACTGGGCCCGAGAAAGGCAGGCCAGAGGCTTACTATGGCAAATGAATAAATGGACATTACCTGTGCCACAGTCTCGATGTAAAAGTTCCTGCAAATTCCCTGCAAGTTACTCAGCTCCATCTTTGATGGGTGAAACGTGTTATCCTGCTGCAACATGCTCTGGTTCAGGCAGCTGCCTTCCTCTTGTTTTTTACTTCCCAATGCCTGACGCCTTTATGGGTTTAGTGTTTGCCGCAGGCTCAACAGGAGTCTTGCTGGAGTCAGGCTGGGATACCCCACTGTTTGCAGATCTGTAAGAATTGATGTTACTCTCTGAATTAAACATGATCCTTCTCACAGTTTCATTTTGTTCCCTCAACACACCTCCTGTTCATTTCTTACCTCCTTTCATTTAACTCTTTGTATTTATGGAGGGTAGTATCTGAAAGGAGAGCAGAGGTGTGAGTGTGTGTTACTAGTCTCTCAATTTCTAGCAGTATATTTTTTCACATACTTAAGCAGTAAGTTACCAAAAAGGTAAAAACAAAAAACCCATTGGACAAGGTGTGAGTAGAATTGTTTATGTAGCATATAGGCTAAATTGGTGCCCTGATAAGTGCAAGCTGAATTAAGCAGTCAGGCGTTGTAAAGCGTGCATTATATTATAATAGTGCACATCCTCAGTGCTGAGAACATACATTCTGTATACTGTATGACGACAATAATAGTTTGCAAATAAATGAAGAGCACAGTGCCATCAGCAATGTCTCTTTTTTCTTTCTGTGGTAGAAATTGTCATCTTTTAAAGGATCAGAGTGCCAAAAAAGCTCCCTTATACTGTCCAGATCCATCATCTGTGCCTGTAGAATTACTATTCATTTTACTGTCAGAAATAAGCAGCTTCTACTTTTAGACCCGCAAAGCCTGTACAGTTATGGAAGAACGAGCAGTGCTTTCTTCTGCCTTGCACATATTTTGTTGAATGACCAATCGCATTACCCCTCAAGAATTTTTAATCCTGATGGAAACATATGACACAGAAAGAATGGATTTGGATTTTTCAGATTCTCTCATTTCAGTGCTTACAATACTAATATTTAGTGGAATTATCTGGCCACTGCTAAACTGAGCATGCGAGTCAAGCTGTCTCACATGTACATGTGAATAAAGAACTTCAGTGAGTGTGGTTCGTGGAGAAAATAAACCTCAGTGATGGTCTTCTGACATAGATATCTTCTTTGCTTCTCATCTGCCTCCTTCCAAGTTACGTTAGTTTCTTGAGGTAGATGGGAAGCCGTATGCAGACCATGTACATCTGCATGACCTGTGGTCCCCCTGAAACTGCAACACTACAGAGTCCCTCAGCTAAGGGATGTCCTTAGAGCAGAATCTTCATCCTGGGTGGTCTTGAGCAGGGCAGATATAAAATGTTTAACTTTTCTTCTGAATTTCACAATTCTTTCTGAAGCTCTTTTCCACCTCCCAGCATGGGCAGTACTCACTCCAACCCATCCAGAGCACACTGTTTCACAGAATAGCTAGGTAAAGTGTCTGGGGGACCCAGGGAGAGACACGGACTCCAGTGGACTCAGTATGTGCTGGGTATGGAAGCTGCTGAAAAGCAGCGTTCAGGAAGCTTTCTGCTCACAACCAGCTGTAAATATTCATGACAAGAGATTAAACTCTCACATTGTCCAAAGCCATTGATTTGTCCAAAGTATTGACACTGACATTGTACCTTAGCACTATGTAATCTTTAATGTATTTATTCTGTGAGATCAGAGAATTAGGATTATGTAGTTCATAAGGAAAAGAAATAGACGTGAACTTGGTTGAGTTAATGTCAGTTATAACAAAAATTAATCTGTCCTTCTTCTTCATTATACTGTTAGTAAACAAGCTAAACTAAAGCAGCTTCTCAGCGGTAGGCTTCCCATGGTGAAAACAGATCCAGCAAGGCAGACACTCCCGAATTCATGTGGTCTTAGCTGGGACTCCCTCTGCATGTGAGGAGACTTTAGATACTTAAGACCAGTTACATATCTCTGACATTAAGCCAGTTGTCCTTTATAGTTTTGTAAGGTTTTTTACAGAAGCCTCAATGGATCTTTCAGTGAGAGCCTGGAGAGTGAGAATCAGTTCCAAGCCCCGATAACATGTTTAATGGTCGACCTGGTTACTCTTTTCTGAAATGATGAGTGTATCTTTACATTTATAAAGATAAATACCTTAAATATGTTTAGATATTCCATTGAAGGGCACAACGTGTGTACCTTTAATACAGACCAGTCTGCTGCCGTGTGGTCAATGGCCAGTTGTTATGCAGCAGTACTCTGTAGGATTGACCTAACTTTTATTAGAACCAAATTCTTTGCTACAAAAACTGTGACTTCATCTATGCCATTGGTGGAACTAATTTGGCCCACTTCATTTGTTTTAATTGTAAAGCTCTAAATGATTTCACCAAAAGGTTGAACCACCCTTACAGTGGACATTGAGACAAGCAGAATATGTTATGTCCTACAGTTCTTCAGGGAGTCTGGCAAGTAACTAGATGGCTTTGGTATCCAGCATTGTAAATCACCTGCTACTTGGCTGAATTCAGTTAAAATTCATGCAAATAAATTAAACTGGGAGAGCATGGGAAGGTGTGAGTGTCTCGCAAGTAAAATCAGGATCTATCTCAAGAGGAAAACAATGACAATAGAGGTATGAAACTGCACAGCTACTGAAAGCAGTGTTTGCAGAGCCAGCAAAGACACCAGTTAGCTCCTGGACAGTTTCAAATGTTGTGGTACAGAACTCAATGCCGTAGAATTTTGCAAAAAGTGGAGTGGCCTGAATTAAAAGGCAGTTGAATAATTTGATATCTGTATATTAAAACTCCTTTGTGTTTGTGTGTAAGGTAAGGGAACGGCAGACAACTGCATCTTATAAGAAGAGTCTGAGCGCTGATCTTCTGCTAAGTTCAGGGAAGAACTCTGAGGGGGTCCAAGTTGAACGAGGCCACTTTATTCTTTAAATTAACAGGTTTAATTAAAATCTGTATGTTTTTGTCTAAGTGAAGCTAGCCTGCGTAGGTATTTAAAACCCTCATAGGTCCTTGCAGAACTAGTAAGAATGAGTGCTTCAGGTCGATGTTAAATATTGACACATTTAGAACAATGCTACACCGCAGATGTCGTCCCAACCTGATGGTAACATTACAGAGCAGAATGAATGAAGTGGAAGCAGCTCTGGAACACCCTGCTGTAACATTCTCATTAGCTCCTAATCCGTAAGGCAGGAGAATAGCCCGATTGTACAAAGTACAATAGGGATAGTTGGCCTAATGTCTTTGGTGGGTTAGCATTCATAAAACAACTGTTGAATTCAATTCTCTGTATAAAGAACAAGTAAAAGGAGCTGCAGAAAATCCATGGCCTGCTACAGGCATACAGACACCGGGGAAACTCCTGTCTCTTTGCTCAAGTTAATGAAAACACTGTGAATTTTAGCAAAAATATTGTAATGGTTTTCAACACAATATGTTACACATACTGCAAGTATGAATTCTGTGTCATCTATGTTCCTCACTGTTTTGTTGTTTGGTTTTTTTTTTTGTAGAATACAATTTCATTTAAGTAATTTTTTTTCTTCTATTTGAATGAAGACTTCCGAATTTAGCTGTGGGATTCTTAAATATGCTGTTCTCATTCCCTAAGGCCTTTCTCCAGCATTGCTGCAGAGTCTGCACCCCACTATGCAATTTCATAGTGCATGTTTGTGACAGGCATATCAAACCATCCAGTTAGTTTAGAATTGAGGTGAGAGAGTGCTTTAAATGTAAATTTTGCTATAAACAGCAGAACAAAATTTTGCAAGCACTTCCTAGCTCTGCCAGGAAGCAAAGCTATATTTAACTCATTTTAAAATTCATCAAATACATTCTGGGCTGATTCAGATCTTCGGTGTGTCTTTGAAGATAACATGTAGTGAAAGTGTCATACAGTCAGTTGTGGGATAGGGCACATTCTGAGATTCTTGTCAGAGAAGACATGCAGTTAGGACTGGATTGTAGAAAGAAAAGTACATACAGATCTGACGACTTAATATTGATATTTTATTTGAAGATTTGGACAATATCTGTTGCATTCAGTTCAAGAGCTTTTTAAGAAGTGCTGTATATAAAGAGATTAGTGCCATACCAATGGCAAAACTCAGATGCGCTCATGAATTTTAAAAACTATTGTCTTGTAGTGCTTGGGAGAGGCAATTTTTTAGAGAAGCTAGTACAAAGTGTTGCTGTAATAATAATTGTTGGAAGTTTCAAAATGCATGGGAAAGATCCCTGGATATTAAGAATAAGTCGTAAGAATTTAGCTAGGGATTCTGTGTACAAAAGGAGAAACTCCCGGAGGTATCTTCCTCTTCCTTTATTTTTCCTATCTCGGATTGCACCTCCCTGCAGCTTTGTATCCCTGTAAACTCAACAGCTGTTATTGATAGGGTTAAATGTAGACTGGAATAAACCTGTCAAATTTCAGGCTTCATTTTTGTATGTGTCATTAGATAAGATCAATAAGATTCCAAAATATTGTTTAGACTGATTTTGTATCTAGCCACTATATATGTGCTGCTATCGTGTCTCTACTGTTTTTTTTGTAAGCACAATTAGGAGTCTCTCAATTTTAAAAGCCTTGTGAACAATCTGAATCTATGAGCAAGATGTTTGCTATTGCCTATATTCAGATATGACCTGACTTTGAAGTTCAAGATTATGATTTTGAATAGCTAGGTAATTCCTTCCGTTGCCTAAAATCCTTAATTAAAAGAAATAACAGGCTATACACTAACCAATAAACTCTGAATAGGAAATTGAAACAGTGTCATGCTTCTAATATGGTTTTATGCATCTGGATTGTGGTTTTCTAATGTTTATTTGCCTTTGATTTGTTCTAGTACATGACTGCTGCTGCACCTATGCAAGGGACCTACATTCCCCAGTACACTCCTGTGCCTCCAACAGCTGTCCCTATTGAAGTAAGTTTATCTCCATTTATGAAAATAGAGTGAAGGGGTAGCAGAACTCTTATCTATTATGCTTTCTTCCACCTGTTGTTTGAAAGGGGCCTAAATTTACTTCATGGAATGGTGGCTGGAAGCTTCCAGTTTTTAAAATTAGGACTGCACATTTCTTTCTTTCTTTTTCCTTCTTTCTTTTTCCTTCCTTTTTTTTACCTTCTCCTTTTTTTATTTTTTTTTTTTATTATTATTTGCAAGGGCTTTTGTTTTGCATTTGTTTTGTTGTACAGCAGGACATGGAATAAAACATCAGTGATTATGACTGTTTTTTCCCCGTGTACTTGGGAGGGAGATGGGAAGAGACAGGAAAACAAACCCAGCAGGCAGACCACGAACCCAAAAGAGATTCCAAGAAGAGAAGATTGCAAGAGGGTTTGATGCAGTCCTTAGCAAGTATAGGTATTTGCTGAAACATTTAGCCACCAGAAAAAGTGATTGAGCAATGGAAACCTTCCTCTTGTATATACAGACGTGGAGGATGCTGCACTGACTGAGTGCTTTTCATCCTTGAGGAAGGATTCGCTCCCTCCCTTCTTGGGGCTGAGTCATGCTGATGACAGTCTAATGAGTAAGTATTTACTCAACCCTGTAGACCACAAGCTGCTGGGAGAGCGTCAGCTTGGCCTCCAGTTCTGTGAAGCTTCCTAAGGGCCACTGAGCTCAGTGAGAGGAGGGAGCCTTGCATCCTCTTCCTTGTGTGCTTCTCTTTGGTGCTACCCTCTTTTATTAACAATTTCTCCCCTAATCTGGGGTAATGCAAGGAGTGCCAGGGTCTCCGTACTTTTGTCTTCAACTGCGTAGACTTTGGACTTTGTGCTATTACTAGTCTGTGCTTTGAGGATGCTGAACTAGTGATACTGTTGGCGCAGCTCCACCAGCAGTCAAGTGGACTCGTCCTGGTTTCTCCCAGTTTTTTGCAATTACTGAGATTCACAAATGAGGTCCCACAGGAAAGGCTGCTGCTGTTCTGTCATACTGAGCTGGTCATGTTTTGGTCTTTTTTGCCTTGGGATAATGTTGCCCTAAACCTTGTTTGTTTACAAACAGGCCATGGGTGCCTCTTTTCAATTGCTATTCTTAGGTATTAAACTAGGCAGATACAAATCCAAATTAAAAGGAGATGATGGGACTGAGAGTGGCTCATACAGAAGTACTGACTGTGTCCTGTGCTGACAGAAGTGAATGAGAAATTAAGTTAATTCTTCCTGGGCTCTCCTCTCCATCACTAACTGGTATAGTCATGCCTGCTGAAGTAATATGATGCTGTAATTATCTACAATAATAGTCAAAATATTATCTGAATAGATAGCCTATTGCTATCTTGCTCTGATCCAGTGATGACATTTGTCTGTATTCATGTAGCATCATGAACCAGGATCCTACTATGCTGGATGCTCCACAAGCAGAGATCAAAAAATACAGTCTCTGCCCCAGAAAGCTTACAATCTCAAAATGGGATGGACAAAAGGAGAAGGATAAAGACAACAGGAAGTAGAAAGAAAAAGACAATACAGACAGTATGTTAAGTCATAGAAGTTAATAATTTGTGAAAGATGAAACTAATATTTTTAACAGATAATTTAAAGTAAACTACCTGTTGTTTACACAAGACTCAAATAAAAACAAAGCAAGTGCTCTGTGCTCCCTCTTCTGGCTCTGCTGTGTGCAATACAGTCATAAAGCGTGGTCCCTGAAGAGACCTGCTAGTGTTATTCATGTGACCAACACACCAAGCGTGAGAGTAAAGAAAATAACACTTACTTTGAAAGCATATAAACATACATAAAACAATATTATTCCGACTATCTGCATAGAAAAAGAAATAGTGCACAATGTTATAATCATACATAACAATCTCTTGTGTGTTTACTTATCTGTTTTTTTGCAAACACATAAATAAACTTCATTGGAGCTTTGACTTAACAGGTGAAAGTCTTTAGTGTAAAGTAAATTTATTTTTGAAGGGAACATGCATAAAAGTGTATGTAGAGGAGGGCAGTATTTTTCTAAGGTGTCTAAAATTCTGTTGGATGTGTAGTAAAGCAGAGAGTGGTGGACCTAGATTCTGCCTTTATCTCATTGCATATCAAACAAAATAAATGTGGACTTGCTGTGAAGTTGGGGTAGCGAAGTGAAGTGTATGGCTATTCAGAATAGCCATACATATGTTGTAAAAGAGACAAGAGGTAAAATCCAGACTCCAATGAAGTCAGAAGTTTTGTCTCTGGCTTTGACTGGGCAGGGAACTGCCCTCAAAGGTGGAGGTATTTTCCGCTGCAGCCTGTGAAAACAAAGTACTACAGGGGCTGGTACGCCAAAGAAGCCTCTTGTTGCTGGATTATCTCTTTAAAACTGATGGAGTTTGTTGCATTAGCATGTGGATCTGCTATCTCAAACTCTCTTGATCTCTAGAGGAATACAGGAATGGTGAGCTGGTGCTGAGCACTTCTATATAATTCACTGCAGTGAGTATTAAGTTTTTCATGTTCTCATTTGATTCCCTAGGGTGTTGTTGCTGATACTTCTCCACAGACAGTAGCATCTTCATCACAGGAAGCCAGTGGTCAACAGCAACAGATGACTGTGGAAACATCCAGTGAACATGCACCTGCATATTCTTACCAACAGTCTAAGTAAGTAGGCATATGCTTTGTGACCAGAAGGTTTTGTTTCTTTGTTATAGTGGTCTGCATTCCGCTCTCCATTTCAGCAATATAAATTCTGAGTAGCTTCCTTAAGTTCATATGAATTCTGGATCTATAACAGCATAATTAGCAAAAGGTTTTGGCTGATGTCCTTGAGTTCCTGCCTTCAATGATATGCTCTCTAACTGTCTGCTGCTTTTCTGGACTCAGAAGGATCTCAACAACTGCATTGGCAATTATCACGCTGGGCTAAAGCAGCATCTGACATTAGAGGTTAAAAAGAGGGCTTAAATTTGTAGGAGTGAAAATATTGGTGCAGTAGACATGTAAAGATTTCTTTCTGAAAGTGTAGCTAGTGAAGCAGTATAAATTGCCCCAAGTTGGTATTTGTGACTGTGCAAAACTGGTGCCGTGCAGACACCGAGTGAGCAGGAACTGCAAATGGAATAAGAAGGGAGAAGAAAGGGATAGAAAGAAGTAGTGCTCTGTTTTTCTCTTATCTTCTGCTTCCTTTGCTTGCTTCCCATGGAACACCTTGGAAAATTCAGATTTTTTTCACTGACAGATGGATCTAGAACTCCTAAAGAGTCCCTTCATCTTCAGAATAATCCTCAAACACTCCTTCTCTTTGCCACAGTAAAACTGGTCTACGACGGGAAGGTTACTTAGCGACAGGGTGCTCACTGGGACTGATCAATGTTGGACAGATTCTAGGAAGAAGCCCAAAGCCAATCCTTTATTAATACATGTGTACTGAACACGAGCATCACTGTGAAAAGAGAAATACACATTTTTTATCTTGGGGAAAAAAGCAGACAAACAATCAGACCATAAATATGTTAGATATATCAGTCAATGCATCATAACATAGTACTTATAGTGGCATAAGATAGGAGCTGATATAGGAAAGATTAGATTTATACCAATCTCTCAATTACTTTACTTCATTTTTGACCTCTGGAAGTGGAAGATGCATTTAATTTTCTAGCATAAGAGTGGCAAACAGTTTATGATCACACAGTGTCCCTTTTTTACCACCGTAAAACATAAGACCTCACTATTTCTTCTCCCGCACCCATATGTGTCTATATGTACATATTACAAAAGCAATTGATCGCAAGCTTTTTGTTGATGCACTTAATCAGAGACACAGTCTATGCATGTGTATCCCTTCTAGCTATCAGTCTCTCTAGCACCTGTAAATAAATTATGGCAAAATACTTGCAGAATCTAATGGACAGAGAGAAACACATGTGATCGTACCTTCCTGTTGGCTTGTTTTGGTGACTGTGTTCTGTAGGGGTTTGATTCTGTTCATTCCCGTTTTCCAGTTTGCTTTCACTCAAGTCTCAAAGCAGAAGGACTTAGGTTCAGAAGCCCTCATAAGGTAGCTGTGAGCAGCAGATTCTGGCATTTTTCCAGGAGGGAACTACGTTGCAATTCCTTATTGGAATGGGTGCTGTGTTACTTGCCAGTGTGGTGAATTCCCACCTTCTCTGAGAATGAGAGAATGTCAGCTACTGCCTTTTCGCAATGATGGATACACTTCTAATGGCACTGGCATTTATACTCTGAGGGACTTCTTTCTCTTTTAATCATACAGACAGATCCGCTACTGATCTTTTATTATGATTATTTTAGTTTTTTTTTTTCTGAAATGCGCCCTCTATTTATATCTGCCAGTTGCAGGCAGAAATGCAAAGTGTGGGAAGCTGTAGAAACAACCCAAAATATACACAATCTCTGTCTTAAAAATACAACTTCTACTGGAATATTTCAGTAACCTTTAATATAAAACCAAGTGAAGTTATTTCATAATTAAAATATTATTTTATTAATCTGCTCTTCAAAGAGTACATTTATTAATAGCAAACGTCATGCCCAATATACAACAGCTGTTTTCAAAGCAAAATGAGAGGAAGTAATTAACATGACCAGAAAATGATCTTGTCAGATATAGGCAAAGGAAAAGGAAGACACTATAAAATTATTTCATAGGAGCTGATCAGTCAGGAGAAAAGTTATAACGGTGTATTTCATTATATTTATTTTCTTTGCAACAATCATGAAATTGCAGGCAACGAAGGAGAGGCAATGTACTCAGAATGAACTGGGTGGTATAAGGACTCTGTACTCTCTTTGTAAGTAAAAATAAACCACGAGACTTAAAATTTAAGTTCTACTTTTTTAATCAGCATACACATTCTTTTATTTAATATGCTGGCTGCTGTACTTGAGAATCCCACCCATAGGTGTTCAGAAATGATAACTTCATGTCAAAACCCTGGCTACCTATTGTGTAGCGATACAGGAGAAATAGCCCTTGGTTTCTGAGCAGAGGACTCTACTTTATAAGGAAATCACCTCAATTATTTTAGACCCATATTCCCTTTTTTCCTTGTAAATCTTTAATTTTGCACATGAAAGTGTGAAATCCATGAAGGGGACATAAATGGAGATCCTTCCCCCCTGAAAAGTGTACTCTTTTACCTCTAAGCAAAACTCCACTGGATGATATACTCTGATTTTAAATGTGGAAAGAATTACATTTTCCTGGAGCCTTTTGTGGGAAAACTGAATGCCAGGTTAGATTAGAGAGTGTGTACTGTGACCCTTTGGTGGAATTGGTCTTTCATGCATATGGTGGCCACTCGACTCAGAGGGGCAGTAAAACCTCAGGAGGTGAGCATCCAACTTGAGTACGCCTACTGGAAGTTATGCATAAAGAACCCTAAGAAAAGAATTAATTCTTGCTTTCCACATAAATCTACTATTACATTCGAAATATTAATTTTCAGGCTTGACTTTTTCGGTAATGAAAAAGTACTTTGGTAAATTTAATATTTAAAATTAAAGTTAGTTTTATTTTTACCATGCCAGAGAAATAGTTCTGTGGCAAATGTTATGTCATCAACATTTTTCACAATTTAACTCCTAATATTAAAATTAATTTAAAACTAAGCACAGCAAATGCATTCATGCTTGCAAAAGCAAAGGTGCTAGATTTTCTTGTGTTAAACTTGTTTTTTTTCATGCAACTTTTGAGGACTATAGAAAAAGCAATAGCTAACCCTTACTGAGGGCCTTAGATATGAAACAGTGTTTATATGTAGGTTCTACGTCTGCCCAAAGATCTCCTATAGTCTTGGTAAGATAAGTTTGATGTGACATATCTTTAAATTACATGGAACCTCTAAAACAGAAAATGAGAGTTATGTTCTGTAAAGAAAAAGGTTGATAGTTTAGCTTATTCTTTGTGCTAAATTTAGAAAGGTTTGACACTATATGATCAAAAATTGTATTTTTCTAATTAATATTATCTTGCATGTTTCTACAAAGTTAGCCATAACCGGCTCATTAAGCAGAGTGCTCCACAGTCTCACTGTTCTTGCCATTAGAAAATGTGTTCTTTTTAGCAAATTGGACGTGTCCTTTTATTGTAATTTTATCATTCATTTTATTATTAGCATTCAAAATAAATGGTGTCACTTATTATTATGAAAACATTCGCTCTCTTATTGTATTACTCTTGAAATATTTACACAGTGTTAAGCCACATATTCATGTTGTTTTATTGTAGTTAGACTGCCCATTAAGGACAGCATTAACAAGAGTAAATTCGTCTGCCTAGGTTGTGTTAGCGTCCCCAAAGCAGGAGTTCCCTATTTCTGCCTGACTATTTTCAGCTTAGTGGTGGTATCATATTTAAACAGCTGCAAACTTAGTTTAGCTTGGATACCTTTTAAAGGGAATTGGGTGGGAAAAAAAAGGAGAGGAGCCTATTTCAAAGTTGTTTTGACTTAATGACCACTTTAATTCAATTGTTTTTACAGACAATAAACAGGACTGAAGAATGTCGGTCTGAAATCTTTGCCTTGAATGAAGAAACTTCGCTGAACAAGAAGTTGGCTTCCAGTTTGCACAGGCGTCAAATGAATGCTTTTTTTTTTCTACCTTTCCCAACGAAAACAAAACAGTGTTTTTATGTGCTGTGCAAATGGTTCCGTCATGTAGTCTGACAATTTTATTTTTGCTATAATTTTTTTTTTTAACTAAAGGAAAAACCCAGAAGAAAAACACTGGGTTGACATTTCATCTGGACGAACATTTGAATTCAGAATTTACCTGGAGGTGTAGCTAGGTTTTGTTTTTTGTTTTTTTTTTTTCGTAACGGAAAAACTGATGATGTCAAGAGGGAGCAAGTTGAAATGAAAACCAATTGTCTTCCTCAAAAATTAAGCTACTCTTTTTCTCTCATTTTATTTTTCTTCTTGTTTTGAATCTAGAGTGTTTTTTGTTTTTTGGTTTTTTGTTTTTTTAAAGAAATGTTTAGGTAAGGTTTATCTTGAATCTTAATTGCCTTAATTTTAAGGACGTCAAAGGCTCTCAAGGCAAGCTGTCAACGTCTTGTTAGAAAACCCGAGAATGAATTGAAACTGCTCACACCGGTGCTGGTGCAGAAGTTTAATAGACTGAGTTTTTGGGGTGAACAAAAAATAAACTGTACAGTTTAAAAGAAAATGATTTTCTTCTTTTGAAGAAAAGTTGATGATAAAGGAACTGTGGCAACTGAAAGGATTGGAAAAATGCTGGGACTTTTATGAACTTTGTCTTAAGTGTTGACAGAAAAAAATTCTAGAAGGCTAAAGCATTTTACAGTAAAGTTATTGAATTGAGAAAAAAACTTGCTGCATTATAGAGAATGCAGGGTTTTTTTCTTGCAGAATGCAGATTTTTTTATTTACAAAGCGTGATCGCTAGCAAAAGCATTAGTGCTTTTTATCTGCAGTCTTTTTTATGAGCTTTAAGAAGTTTTTAGTCTGCTTTGCTTGTCACATTGCAAAAACCTAGCTTAAGAGCATTAAAAAAACTTAAGTAGATAGGAGCTTATGGTCAAAAAAGTGCAAAAAAAGCAATAGATAGAAGAAATTGTTGACAATTTCTGTAGTCTTTCCTAGTTGTGAACAAATGCAGCCTATGGATGGCCTATTT